GCTGGTGTAGAGGAATCCAACTGATTTTTGGATGTTGATCTTATATCCTGCCACGATGCTAAATCTCTCAATTAGTTCCAGTAGGTTTTTGACTGAGTCTCTTGGGTTTTCTAGGTATAGGATCATATCATCAGCAAATAGGGATAGTTTGACTTCTTCCTTCCTGATTTGGATGCCTTTGATTTCCCTTTCTTTCCTTATGGCCCTGACTAGGACTTCCAGTACAATGTTGAATAGAAGTGGTGATAGCGGGCATCCTTGTCTGTGACTCCTTATTCTGATACACTATATTTAATCTTATAGGAAATCCTGTTTTCTCTACCTTTGGGTTCTATTCAGAATCTGACCACTTCTTAGCACTTTCAGTGCTACTACCTGGTTCAGACCAAATCATCTCTTATAGCATTTGTGGGTATTGAGCAGGAGAGTGGCAACAGTGCTTAGAATCTCAGAATAAGAACAACCTTTGAAGATCCTATAGACTAGTAGTTGTCGCACTGCCCTCATGTGAACCCTAGATGTTCATGGAAGTCTTCTTGGGGTTATCACAGGAACCACTGGGAAGTCGAGTAGGTGGGACTGTTTTATATACAGTTGGTTATTGTTATCTATGGTACTTAAGTTCTTTAAAGTTTCCATGAATACTGAATTAGTAAAAACTGAACTCCTGGGGAAGTACAGGGTTATGTTCCTATAAGCCTCTCAACCCAAAACCAGACCCACTGTCATAGCGTTGATTTCTGACTCACAGTGACTCCTGTTGGGCTTCCAAGGCTATAAATCTTTATGGAAGTAGATTGCCTCATCTTCCTTCCATGGAGCAGCTGGTGGGTTTGAACTGCAGACTTTTTGGTTAGGAACATGCCTTACCCACTGTGCCACCAGAGCTCCTTTATAAGCCTCTAGTCACAACATTTTCATCAACCCATTAAAATAACCTTGTTTTATGTGTATTTCTGTTTAAAGACTTTATTTAATATATATTGTTGATTCATTAACATTGAACTCTAAAGCCAACAGCACATTAATTCATGCTTGAATGAAACACATGTATTTCCTCCTGTGCTTAGGAACACTAGACAGCACTTCAGTCTTATGCCTAGGAGTCATTTTAAATAGCAAAATTGTCAACAAAAAATGTGAAAAGTGTGACACTAAATAGACTGAAAAGTATACTTTTCGTGCAAGACTTCTGCAATGAGAAAAGAAAAAATAAAAAAACATTGAAAAGTACACGTTTTTTTGCAGTGTAACTGAAACAAGAAGGCAGAGAGTCTCCGTGTTTCACCTCAGCTGGAAATACATGTATGTGTTGAGTGACTCAAATTTTTCAGTGCTTGGCACATATCAACAAATGACCATGAAAGTGCTGCAAGTATTGAATTTGGGGTTCCACATAAATTTTAGCAAGAAGGAAAATTTGCAAAAACAATCTACAAATAATGGAGTATGACTGTTTGGTTTCTATACTAGATTTATTTGTAAAACAGGTTCTAATCCTTCAAAAACTTGAAAATTGCTAAAACAAAAGAAACTTGAAAATTGCTGATAGAAGTTGAATACACTACATGTGAGAGAGTGCATTCAGTTTTTGAACATTGTGATCAATTGTTTCTTACTTTCATCCAGGTTCTCTCCCAATAGCAGTTATCTTTTGGATGTGGCTGAGGGCTGTTTGTCTTGTTATCTGGCATGCTTACTGGTACCAGAATAGTATTACTATAACACAGCTTATTGCTTACTTCCCCAATAAGGCTGTGAAGGAGAATGTGGGGATAGGTTGAAGCTCTGTGTATTAAGCTAAGGAAATTGAGTTTTGTCTTCAGTGTTTTTTCTTTCTAGATTACCTTGAAGGCAGGTCTGGGATGGCCTAGAGGCAGGGATTCCTTTAAGTCAGCTGTCACTTTTAGATAGGGCCCCACCTATAAACCTGTAGTCATGGGTCCAGAGAAGAGAAAATAGATTTGGGCGCACATTACTACAGCAGAGAGGCTTTGGTGGCTGATTAGATATACAAGGGTTAGAGAAGGGAAGATTGGGGACTGATGTGAAAATCTTTTTGAAACACTTGGTGAGAGGTACCATGAGGCGAGATAGGGTTCCTAGGATCTGGTAGCTTATGACGTGGGGCATACCTTCTCAAATAGTCATTGTCATGCTGACAGCTGAAGGGGTAGCTAGAGCACAGAAAACCAGAGGGGCTGAATACACAGGGGGAAGATTTCAAGCAATATATAGTGATGGTCCAGTAGGGAGTCCTGTGGTGGTTGGAAACATGGGCCACTCACCAGTTTGAGACAAAGACTTGAAGCAAAGCCATTTTCCACATTGGTAGCAGATACAAATAATTATAATTATTTCCTTTGTCACATTATACCTTTTGAGCCTCTCAACTAACTGCCTTTTGAGATAAATAGGATCATTGGTAAGAAGAGAAACTGAAACTTTCCCATGTTACACATCTGCGAAGTGCGAGAGCCAGGGCTGAGTTCAGGTTGCTCTAGCTCCACAGTTGGGCCTCATCCATTTACTGAGCTACCTTGCATGTACGACACAAGTAGAAGACAATAGAGAACAGGCAGGAAGAGAGGTTGGAGTTTGCAGCCTGATGGGTAGCCTAATGCAATATCAGACTTAACCACAATGTTCTTGTCAGTGGCAACATCTTTGCACTCACAAAACAACTGATGTAGAACTTACCTAGTAAAAGTGTCTACATCCATTATCTTCCATGACTCTCCAAACAACCTCGAGTAAATATTACCTGCATTTGATGTGTGAAAAAATGGAAGGTTGGAATAGTGGAAGGAATTTGTCAAGGCCACACAGCAACAAATTAAGGACCAGAATCCAAGACTTCGAAATGTTAGTCCAGGGTACTTTGTTTCATGAGACTATCTTCATAACATGTTACTGAAAAGGAAGACTGATCAAAACCAGGAATAAATCTACTTGAGAGGAAGATGTGCCTGTTGTTGTTGTTGTTATGTGCCATAGTCAGACCTGACTCATAGCGACCCCTCCTTGAAGTTTCTGAGGCGGTATTACTACGGAAGTAGATTGCCCAACCTTCCTTCCGAGGAGTAGCTAGTGGGTTTGAACCGCCAGCCTTCTTTCTGGTTAGCAGTCAAGTGCCTTAGGCACTAGGCTACCAGAGCTCCTGATGATATGCCTAGGTGTTGCAATCTAACTCACAGTTCAAATGTGTGAAGCAATCTGTGGTTTGCTTTCTAATTCCTTCGGTGTGTAATGTCTTAACAGCCAGATGTGGAATCTAACAAATTTTTCTCCTTCCATTTTCACTGACATTACCATGATGATAAGTTACTAAATATTACATTTTTAGTAAATGTTTGTCATTTTTAGAAAGAAGTTTTCCCATTTCCAGAAGTTAGTCAAGAGGAACTTAATGAAATTAATCAGTTTGTGGGACCAGTTGAAAAATTCTTTACTGAAGAGGGTATGTATGATTTTTTTTTAATCATTACTGAATTCTATTTTAAGAGAGATTGCTTTCATATTTATGTTAGAAGCAGTATATATAGGGGAAGCTCTTTTGAGTGTCATTAATCACAGACAAATAGTATCTACTGGTAATATTTTACTTTAAGGATCATTTCAGTTGCTAATTAGTTATAAGACATCAGTGCTTTTCTATGCATCTGTAGGGAAGAACCACTTTATAAAATTTTCAATCTATTGCAGTCCAACACTTTTGTAAAATACAATAAAAATGAATTACTAGGAAAAAGAAATTAAAATTAAAAATAGACATAAAGTACAGCCTAACTGATTATGTGCTTGGTTGTTGTGACAATGTAAAATTGCTGTAAATATATTTTTTTAATAGTCGTAGTATCACCTTTAACAGGTTCATTCTGCTGTGTATAGTCTTTTTAAAATTTTATTGAAATGTAATTTATGTATAGTGAAATATACAGAAGGAAAATGACATAGGTCAATGAATTTTTTTTTTGTCAGTGTTCCCTCCCTCCCCCTCCTCTCCCACCCCTGGTGACCAACAAAGAAAGTTTCCTTCCATGCATAAACCTTTCTTTGACTTTTTACAATAATGAATTAATACTATATTTCCCCTTCTGTGATTGACTTATTTACTCTGCACGATGTCCTCCAAGTTCATCCATGTTATGTGGTGTTTTGCAGATTGTACATTATTCTTTAGTGCTGCATAGTATTCCATTGTGTGTATGTACCATAGTTTGGTTATCTATTCTTCTGTTGATGGGTTCTTTTTGCTATTGTAAATAGGGCTGCAGTGAATGTGGGTATGCATATATTTGTTCTTGTCCTGGCTCTCACTTCTTTAGGATATATACTTAGTAATCGGATTGCTGGCCCAAATGGTATTTCTAATTCCAGCATTTTAAGGAATCCCCATACTGCTTTCCACAGTGGTTGTACCATTTTACAGTCCCACCAGCCGTGTAGGAATGTCTCAGTCTCTCCCCATCCTTGCCAGCATTTGTTATTTCCTGTCTTGTTGAACTTTGCCATTAGTGCTGGGGTAAGATGGTATATCGTTTTGATTTGCATCTCTTTAATGGCTAATGATTGTCACATTTCTTCATGTATTTGCTGGCTGCCTGAATATCCTTTTTGGTGAAGTGTCTAATCATATCTTCTGCCCGTTTTTTAATTAGGTTGTGTTCTGGTTACCTAGTGCCACTCTGACAAGAAATATACCACAAATGGGATGACCTTATCAAAAAGGACTTTATTCTTACAATTTGGAGGCTTTACATCCAAGTTCAAAGTGCCAGGCTTTAGGGGCTGGGTAAAAGCCCCTCAACCTGGGGGTTCAGCTCACAAGGGGAGTGGTGTCAATCTCTCTCCCTTGAGAATAATGTTGGCTGTTGGTTTTGTATATATCCCCTTTATGTTGAGAAATTTCCCTTCTATTCCAATTTTGCTGAGAGTTTTTATCAGAAATGGGTGTTGGATTTTATCAAACGCCTTTTCTGCATTGATTGATAGGATCATGTGGTTCTTTTCCTTTGTTTTATTTATGTGATGGATGACATTGATTGTTTTCGTAATGTACCATTCTTGCATACCTGGTATGAACCCTGCTTGGTCATAATATATTATCTTTTGGATATGTTGTTGGAGTCTGTTGGCTAGTATTTTGTTGAAGATTTTTACATGTATACTTGTGAGGGATATTGGTGTGTAGTTTCATTTTTAGTGATGTCTTTATGTAGTTTTGGTATCAAGGTTATGCTTGCTTTATAAAATGAATTTGGGAGGATGCTATCCTTTTCTATGTTCCGGAATAGTTTGAGTAGGATTGGTGTCAGTTCTTCTTTGAATGTTTGGTAGAACTCACCAGTGAAACTGTCTGGGCCAGGGCTTTTTTTTGTTGGTAATTTTTTTATGACCTGGTCAATTTCTTCTTTTGTTAGGAGTCTGTTCAGATTTTCCCCCTCAGCCTCTGTTAGTTTAGGTAAGTAGTATATGTCTAGAAATCTGTCCATTTCTTCTAGATTTTCAAATTTGTTGGAGTATAGTTCTTCATAGTATCCAGACATTAAACTTTTAATTTCTGTTAGTTCTATTGTGGTGTCATCTAATTCATTTCTTATTAGTGTTATTTGTATTCTCTCTTTTCCTTTGTTAAATTTGCCAGTGATTTGTCAATTTTATTAATCTTTTCAAAGAGCCAACTTCTAGTCTTACTAATTTTTTTCTGTTGTCTTTCTATTTTCTGTTTCATTTATTTTTTGCTGGAATATTTATCTTTTTCTCTAGAAGAGTCTCAGTTCCCCAGGACCTACTTTGAGAACTGCTGTTCTACATCATTTACTGTTATGTTGCCAGTTTGAAAAATTGGTTAGTTGCATGTAAATTTCTTTAGCTATTTAGAAATACTTGCTTTCCTTTTTGTTCTGAAAGTTAACTTCATACTTGTAACTTTTAAAAACTTTTTTCGTTCTTTGTTCTTTTATTTTTATTTTTTTATCTAGTGTGTAAGGGTGCCTTTCTCTCCCAGGTTTATTGAGGTATAGTTTAGTTAAAATAAATTTTACATATTTAAAGTATACAGTTTGCTAACTTCTGACATGTGTTTACCTCAGAGGAGAAACTATCAACATAATCAAGGTAATAAACCATTACCCCTAAAATTTCCTCATACTCCTTTCATTCTCTCCCTGACCCCAGGTTAACACTAATCTGCATTCTGGGCATAGATTAGTTTCCATTTGCAGGATCTTACATAAATAGAATAAAATACTACGTGTATGAAAAAACACCAGTTTTAGGACCACTGATGTCAATCATGCATTATTTGTCTATTTTCACTCAGCATAAATGCATTTCATCCATGTTGCATGTATCACTAGTTCTTTCCATTTTAATGCCGAGAAGCATTTCTTCGCATGAGTATACTAAAAATTTGTTTATCTGTTCACCTGTAACATTTGATATGTATCCACATTTTAGCTATTACCAAAAACAGCTGCGATGACCATTCTTGTATGAATCTTTGTATGGACATATGCTTGCCATTCTCTAGGAATAGAATGGCTGGGCTGTGTGGTAGATACACATTTAATTAACTCTTTGAAAAACTGCTCAGCTGTTTTCCAAAGTGGTTACCACTTTACATTCCCACCAACCCTCAAAAAACCATACTGCTGCTGAGTTGATTCTGACCTATAGTGACCTTATGTAACAGAACAGTACTGCCCCATAGGGTTTCCAAGGCTGTAAATCTTTACAGAAGCAGACTGCCACATCTTTCTCCTGTGGAGCAGCTGGTGGGTTTGAACCGCCAGTCTTTTGGTTAGCAGCTGTGTACCTTAACCACTACATTATCATGGTCCCTTCATTCCCATCCAAAACAAACCAAACTCACTGCCCTCGAGTTGGAGCCGACTTATAGCAACTGCTCCTTGGGTTTCCAAGGTGGTATCACTACAGAAGTAGATTGCCCAACCTTCCTTCCCAGGAGTAGCTGGTGGGTTTGAACTGCCAGCCTTCTGGTTAGCAGTCACATGCCTTAGGCACTATGCCACCAGAGCTCCCATGAGTATATAAAAGTTCTAGTCACTCCACATTTTCACCAATACTTGGTATGGTCACTCTGTTTCAATTTTAGCCCTTGTATTGAGTGTATCTCAGAAGAAAGGCCGCATGTTCTATTTCTCAGAAATCAGCCATTGAAAATCCAGTAGAGTGCAGTTCTGCTCTGAAATATATGGGTTCGTCATGCATTGGAATTGGCAAGTGGTTAGTAGATATAAAGGCATACTTTGTTTTATTGTGCTTTACAGATACTGCATCTTTTACAAATTGAAAGTTTGAGGCAACCTGTGTCTAACAAGTGTGTCAGCGCAGTTTTTCCAACAGCATGTGCTTGCTTCATATCTCTGTGTCACATTTTGGTAATTTGCAGTATCTCAAGCTTTTCATTATGCTGTTGCACACTTAATAAACTACAGTATAGTGGAAATAGTTTTTAAAAAAAATTTTTTTTTTTATTGTGATTTGGGTGAAAATTTACAGAACAAATTCGCTTTCCATACAGCAGTTCTCATACACTTTGTCTCATGACATTGACCACAATTAACCACAATGCAATAGCTCCCCTCCTACTTGCTTCCGATAATTACCTCTTCCCTATGTCAGTCCCTCCATGCCCTCATGCCCCCTGAGCTGTCTCCCGGTGGATAAACAGCCCTTCTTTCTCCCATGATTGTTCTCTCCAAGGAGTGTATCTACCTGAGGTAAATGTTCAACTCATATGCCTGTATTTTGCTTGGCTGGAAGCCACAGGTGTGGGTTCAATTCCAGACCTGAAGGGCAGGTAGGGGCCACAGTCTCAGGGGTTCCACTGGGCTCTATCGGACCAGCAAACCTGGTCCCCAACCCCCCTTTTATTTTTCTCCAAATGATTTTGAGTTTTGTCCACATTGTTCTCCATCTCTATCTATAGTGGAAACAACTATCTATAGTGGAAACAACTTTTATATGCACTGGGAAACCAAAAAATAAATTGTGTGACTCACTTTATTGCAGTGGTCTGGAACTGAACCTGCAATATCTTTGAGATATTTCTGTATAGTAGTGTCTTAGTTACCAAGTCCAGGTATAACAGAAATATCACAAGTGAGTGGCTTTAACAAATAAAAATTTATTGTTTCACAGTAAGGAGGCTAAAAGTCTGAATTCTGGGCTCTGGCTCCAGGGGAAAGCTTTTTCTCTCATTAGCTCTGGGGGAAGATCCTTGTTTCTTTTCATCTTCTGCTTCTGGGTTAAGGAGCTTTTGGTGGTGCAGTGCCTAAGGCATTTGACATTTGACTGCTAACCTGAAGGTTGGCGGTTCAGACCCACCAGCCACTCTACAGAAGGAAGATGGGGCAATCTACTTCCATAAATATTTACCACATTGGAAACCCAATGGGGATCACTATGAGTTGGAATCCACTCTGATGGTAG